GGGCAAATGCTTAAGTGACAGCAGCCTGCAGTAGAACGGAGAGTGGAGATAAGGATAGGAAAAAGCGACACGCACAAAAAAAATGAGACAGATCGTGATTTAAGATGGTGTTAGGGAGGATTAACTACTTCTGCTAATGATAGTGCCCTGGCTGCCGGAGCTTCATTTCTCTCAACTTCTGTTCTTCTTTGTTTCGTGAAGGCTCTAATGCAACAAAGGAAGGTCTCAGTTTCTAAACCTACGCTATAAAAGCATAAACCCTCCTGACAAGTAATGACACACAAAAGTGCTGTATTTGGAGGTGTTTTCATGACTCTGTCACACAGTAAGAACCCCAAATTTACTGCCAGGAAGCATAAATGCAAATGTATACTTTCTGGCAGTAAATTTTAGAACAATTTGTCTGAAACCACCTTCAGACTAAAGACATCTTTCATCCCCTTAGTATTAAAGCTCAAACAAACGAGTGACTGCCTGAGCTTGAGATATCAGATTTGAGAAAATGTCCAACGCTAGACTTTGATTCCTGGGGCTATAACAATGTAAAAGGGCCATTATGACATTTAATGCATGTTGCTGGGGGTCCTGTTAATAACGTTCCCTTGGAAAGTGGGGGGAATTTGAAAAGAAATGCTCCCGTAACCTTGTTTAAGCTCTGCGGTAGCTCTGACTGTGACAGGCTAATTAATGAACTGCTATTTTCGCGTATAAAATATGCTAAGTTGAGGAGAGGTGTGTATGCTTGCACATGTGCAGTGCTAAATAGCAAAGGAGCTTTGGGTTTAATTAATGGACCCTGGTCCATTTTCTGTGTGTGCATGTGTGCAATATGGGAATGTCAATGTTCCTCCTATAGTTTTTTTTTTCTTTTTTTAAAGGCAAAAAATGAGGGTGAGAATAACGGCCCAGCTTTGGCTGGATTCCTGTCTGACCTATTTTCTACAATATATGTTCTTCTCCTGTTGTAGGACAGCAAGGTAAGGCAGCATCATTTGTCACCCTGAAAGGACTTTGTTTATGAGTATAGGTCAGATAAAGCTGTAATAAAGGTATCAGAGCCGCAAGCAATTAGTTGATGCTAATTATCGGGCAGCTATTTCGAGAAGCAATTAATTGTTTAAGTTACCTCTCTAACAAAAATCTTCAAAACACCCTCTGAAATGTGGTGATATGAGGCTATTATTGACCTTCAAACTTTAGATTTGTAAAAAAGGTGACAAGATATGAAACTAAAATCAGGCACAAGAAAACTTTAGAGATATTAATACAGAAACAACAGTTTTTAAAGCACTTTGAGATTAGAATATTAACAGATTTCCATTTGATAAACACATAAGTTTTACTGAAATTCAATTATTATTATTATTATTATTACCACAAGTTCAACTAACTACAATAATTTCATTTGTTAATTTGTTCTTGTTTCGATTTATGCAATAGTTTTTACACAGTAATAAAGGTGCATGTCCCTTCAGTTAAAGAAGTCTGATCCGCCTTAACCATAACAGTGACATTTCTGATTCTACGATTACATTTCACCCAATGAGCTTCCTTCTTTCTTTACTACAACTGTTTTGTAAATAACTGCGTATTAAAGTAATGAGTAAATACACCCTGAACCTATGCAGAGCTCGCTCAGGTAGGACTTTCTAACGTTTGTCACAATACACTACAAGCACGGCCATTTTGAGTTACGTGACCTTGAATTATGCATAACTGTAACAGCTGAGTGCAGCACGGTCGGTGCAGGTTGGTTTCTTCAGTCACAGCACCTGCTCTCCTCACAGGTTATACCGAACATGCAAAGACTGCATCTGCAGGTTACTTTACAGTTTAGTAAAACAGATTATTGACAGTCAGGGCATCAGAGGACACAAATCATCTGATGTATGTGTGTGTTTGAGGGAAGAGGAGGTGGATGACCAATCACAGCCGAGTCTACTGCACGCTCAGTTATTGATTGATAGCTGATCGCTGGTTAATCCCTTTTAGACCCGACTTCCGAGTTCTAGTTGACCGCAGGATCCGTGAGTTACAGGTTATCAAAAGCGACTCAACACAGACGCTTACATTCTACAGATAATCATTCTCATGTAATTTACTTTAGCTTGAACACATAAAAAGTCACCTCAAAGTATGATTAATACAAAAATGAGCAGCAACAATGCTTGTTTAATGGGAAACCAAAGCCTAACGTTACTTCAGATTTTGATATATTAAGGCCCAAAGAGTAAATCTTTAAGCTGACACCCACAACCGCCCCTCAATTTAAAGAACTCTTTGGATCTAGATGATGCACATGAATGACCTGGTTGACACTGAAAATGTCGATTGCAGGTCCCATAATGTGACAGTAAACAGAATTCAGGGTTTTGGACTATTGGTCAAATGAAACAAACAACTTGATGACATCTGAGGGGATGGCATTTTGTAGACCAAATCCAGAAAATAATTAGCAAAGTAATTTGATAATAACTCCTTGTTGCAACCGCCATGAAAATTACAGATATGCAATAACAGAAGGTAGTAAAAACTAACCAAACATGGCAGAATTAATCCTCCTAATGTGGCTTTCTGACCTGCCTCAGCCTTGTAATGTCATTATTCTCTGCTATTCTGCTTGTAGCACGCTTCCCTAAAGAGTGTCTCAAGCAGTGACACACATTCATGTTTAGCTTTAACATAAAGAAGATGCCTGCGTGTGGTTTTGTTTGTGTGATAAATGAAAAAGCAGATTTCCTTCATTATGTAAAAAAAAAATGTCAGTGTGGGAAATTGCACTATCCATCTCAGCAAAAATACCTATTTACTGCTGGCAAATTGCTCTTACAGACACTGGCTACCATTACTCATCAAACTAAACTCTGCACCCGACACTTTGCCAGCGAACATGTCCTCATTTATTACATTTCCCCGCCAAAACAAAAGCATGCTTCACGAATGAAAAAGGACTCAGGACTGTAGCTGAATAACTGCAAATCACACACTTTCTGCTTCTATCATTTCCAGTCATATCACTGATATGTGGAATTTCTAAGGGGACTTTGAAAGCAGCAGCTATATTTCGAGCTCCTGGTGTGATAGTATTTCTTTTCTTTCACCGGCAGCTTCGAGCTATTAGACAATAAAAAAAAAGATAATGAATATCTATTTTGTAATTTCAGGGAAGAATACAGGGCCACTTCTTCAATCAGGCGGGGAACTGAACTATATTGATGACAGCGTGGTTTCAACTAATAGCCTTTTAAAATGAGCTATTGATCCTTTCTAGCAATTATTTTGAAAAGAAACCTTGAAAAGAAAACACCTTTGAGGATGGACTCAAAGCGTGGAGGAACACAGAAGGATACATCCACGTAACAGACATCCAGGTGTTTGCATCAGAGCGAAGAGATACTGAGAGTGTCTGAGAGAAGAACAGAAACATTTCTGACATAATTTCAATTTAGCCGCATTAAGCCCTTGTTAGCTGCAAGGTGCAACAGTGGTTAGCACGTGGGTTCTCTCCGGGTTCTCCAGCTTCCTCCCACACAGTCCAAAAACATGTTGAGGTTAATTGGTGATTCTAAATTGTCCGTAGGTGTGAATGTGAGTGTGCTTGGTTGTCTGTCTCTAAGTGTAGCCCTGTGATAGACTGGTGACCTGTCCAGGGTGTCCCCTGCCTTCACCCTGAGTCAGCTGGGATAGACTCCAGCCCCCCACGACCCTAGTGAGGATTAAGCAGTGTATAGATAATGGATGGATGGATGGAAGCCCTTGTTAGAAACGGGATACGTAACATTGCTGCGCCGTCAATCTGTTAAGGTGACGACATTTTGCATTAATGTTGCTTCAATCAGACAAACCGACCACAGTGACAGAGAGAGAAAGTGATATTTATCATAAATGTGGACAGCACATCAAGACGCTCATATGGGTTCTGTAGCTGTTTGAATAAGCTCAAACTAATATAATCAGCTCTTGTAATTCTTTTGTCAAAACCTGGATTACATTAACTACTGTTCAGTTACATTAATATGAACAGCTAAAGTCTGTCTTTGTCGAAGCAAAATCTAATTTAACTGTCTCTTTGTGAAGTTTTCTGATCAGTATTGGTGCTGAAATGAGGGAAAAAACTTTCAAAATATAACATAAAATAAAAGCCACTTGTGTTTGCTCATCCCTTAATGTGATACGGTAATGGTACCAGATTAGCAGAAAGCGTGTCTGAAATCCTCTGTAATGTTAACGAAAGGCAAATAGTGTTTATGAGTGGGCGGCAGAATTGAGTAGGTGTTTTAAAATCAGCTTTTTCCTGTTAACCAAGTCTTCAAATAGATTTCACGAAATAAATCTCATATTTCTCTGACTTTTTTTTAGCACATAAAAACTAATCAAAGCTTACAATCAGAATCACTGTTTGTTGTATTTATTCAGTCTCCTACTCTGATCTATGCACTCATGTTGTATGCAGCACAACGAGGGAGGAAACTTGGTGATGTACTGTCAGTCACATGAAAAGGAAAATATCAATGAACTGCAAATACAAACTGTAATGAAAAATGTACTTGTACTTGAGTGTGTGAATTTGCAGGGTAAATATTTTAAGCCCTTTATCTTGTACATCAGAAAAATGATGTGATATACATGATGTGAGTCTCTTTAGATGCGATAACAATCAATTTACTACCCAACATAAACAACAGTGAATGAGAAAAATGAAGACTTAAGTTGCTTTGTCACACTTTGTCATGTTTTGCACATGGAATAAAATCATTCTTCTTTCATGCAAATAGCCTCTTCTTTATTGAGATTAGGCTGTTGATCTTTCTACTCACACCTGACACCACTTCTTCAAAAGCCCCGATTCAAGAGCATTAAGTTGTTCCTCTTTGTATCTCTGCAGAAAGTAGATGGTTTCCTAAAATCCTGAATATTTAAATGGATAGTGACTCAGTTTATGTAGAACTGTAAGCACCTTTGTGTGGAATTTAGGATGTGATATGATAAAAACGCCTTACCTTCCACTCCGCTGATACACTTGACTCGGTCGCGGACTTCCACGTTGTATCCCTCGAACGACATGAAGACCCCGTCGGGGTGGTAGGGCTCGCGCTGGGTGTAAACCTTCGAATAGCTGTGCTGAAACTCAAAGCGGTCGTAGCCGTCGTACTGCACTATTTTGCCATACACCTCGAAGTACTTCTCCATCCAGGAGAAGGGCAGGTAGACCTCGCCGCCGTCTCGCCGGCCTTTTATGGTGGATTCATCGTTAATCAGGCAGTCGATTTCTTCATACTTGACCCCGCCGATGACCCCGACGACGGGCGGGGGCTCTGGAGGTTGCGGAGGATGCTGCTGGCTGCTGATGCTGGCGTCGCCGATCTTGGGACTGGGAGCCACCAGGGCGGCCCGGGGCAGGAAGCGTATGGAAGTGTCGCTGGAGCAGCGGTTCCACAGCAGCACAGTGATGAGCGTGAAGAGGGCGCAGATGACGATGAGGGTCTTGTAGTTCACCCGAGCAGCCAGACAACGCATGGTCACAACCTGCCTGCAAGAAACGAACACAAGAGACGTGACTTCCAAAGTCGAGACGGACATCTGACAGAGGTTCTGCGATCAGGGCCGGTCGGCTCTGGAACGGCCTCCCTGAGGAGATGAGGCCGCTGGATCAGTGTCTTCTTCTAAAGCACTTCTTGAAACCCATTTTATAGACTTACTTTAAAGTGATGTTGTCTATCTTTATAGTCTAATTCAGTTTATTATCATTTACCCTTTATTTATTTACTCATTTATGGATTTATAGGTTCTATTATCATTATTACCCTGAGCCTTGTTTTCATATTTTTATGGTTTTACATTCTATTTACTTTTATTTTACCAGTTCTTTTTCCTTACTTGGATATTTTTGGTCCTTTTATTATTTTTATTTGATGTTGCTGTATTGATTCATTTTAAAAATCTTTTACTGAGCGGCCATCTGCTGTTTAATGGTCCTCCCGAGTATCCTTCTTTTCTTTTTTGCCCCGTCCGTAAAGCACTTTGTAAACTCTGTTTTTAGAAGGTGCTATATAAATCCTGTTACTACTAATAATATTATGACTGATAATTTGTTAACATGTCATCTGGCAGCGCACCGAGAAGAAATTTAAACACACAACTGTCGGCGCCGTAGACTGGCGGCCTGCTGTGAAGTACAATTTCACAGCCTCATTTGATAAAAGCTCAAACGGTATTAGCTCATTTAATCGTTATCCAAGACATACAGAGAAAATGGTGCGTGGCTACAAACACTGAACACACTACAATGCTGTGAATAACATCTAACAAAACTTTAATTGGCAAACAGTTTTACAGGCACACAAGAAATCAAGTTACCCTGAGGCCTAATCACTAAACCCTCACACAGTTGACTGTGTGAGTTCATGAGGGCTCAAAATGGCAGAAAAAAAAAAGAAAAAAAAAGGGAGGAACGGGCGGCGCTATCATGACAGCTCACGTTGCTTGGAAACAACACGTCGTCATTTAAAAAGAATCTAAACAAAAGAAGAAGAAGAAAGAAACCCACAGTGATTTAAGATCCGTGTTTCATTCTTATGCTGATGAGCTGCTCGGTGTATCGTTGCCTATTCGTGGCGTTACAGTGTTTTCTAACTACCACCAGCCCGACTGAAAATACAAACAACTCTAAACGCATGCAATAAATACTGACAATTGCACGATACCAGTTCAAGTGCTGTCACTAAGAGATACACTTCCGTACATCGCCAATGCTTTGTTTGTGTACGTTTTGGAGGGAGCAGGACAACCAGGTCGCCGGATTCACTATTAAGTGTGGACACATCCCTCAGGAAAGTCTGCAGATATGCAGACTCACAGACAGAGCTTATAATTGCGTCCACATCAGAGCCATTGTGTGCTTCACGATGTGACAGCGAGACAGCTCTGAGCCCTCACGCATTTAGTGCTAACGCTCCTCAAAGTCTATGAGTCCATGAGTGAGGAGACTGGGATTAGGCCATCCAATCTGATGACACGTTTATATACACTCCAGTGATCTGGCTGCTTTAAAATCTGCAGCAGGTCAGTGTTTATTTTCTCCCCTTTCTCTAAACTGGAGCCAAAACTTTACAGAATACATTCATTTGCCTGACTATTAGGTCTGACTGGCTCTGTACTGGGAGTACACGCTTTGTTTGTTTCTTAAAAAGAATGCATTTGAAGTTTACAGATAGTCAAACGCTTAGCAGGAGAGTTTATCAGGGGTTTAGCCGTTCAGCAGGAAACTGACTTATGCAGACTTCTACAGTCGACTTAGTGTCAGTTTTAGTCAGACTGCTTCTGAAAACAAGGACGCGTTGCCTTGTGTACTGATTTTTCCTTTCATCCTGCAGCACTTACTGACGCTGTGTTTCTCATTTCCAGTCAACTTGCTGGAAAAAGCGGATTGTAAATAGTTTTAACTAAATACATGTGAGTGAATCGACTGCTCTGATCATTAACTTCTGTTTTCTAGATGGATGAAAAGTCAGCTGATTTACTAAATAGATAAATGAAACGAGGTCATTAGTAATGCAAAAAATAGAATCCAACCAGAAGAACTAGTGAATGATCAAATGCAAATGAGCTGCATGATCAACAACACTGTTCACCAGCAGCAGTGGAGAGCGCACTGTTGATTCGCTCGTTATTTCATCAAACGCTGCAGAAACCTGAGAGAATGCAGCTTCCTCTAAATGGGTGACAAGTTGTAATTTGTGTCAAACCCACAGTTTTGCTGCCTTTTGTTTGGTGCGAAGACAAACTGTGGATGAGTCAGAAGCACCTGAGGACAGAGCTGCTACATGCATGTTGTAATTAAGACCGCACATACTGAACCAGATTTGGTGTGGCTGCACAGAACAAAATGCAGGTTTGTGACCAATAAGAAGCTCTGGTTTGTGCTGTGATTACCAGCGTGTCTGTGCAAGTCTTATTTACTACCCAACAACCAACCAGTGTTAGCAGGTTGCTGCTGGTCCACTTCTCTCATGTTTACATTTTGTTGTAGGCGGGGTTTTGGCTTCAAGTCACTTCCTTTATCTGCGATGGAATCATGCTTTTGAACTTTCTTCCAGCAACATAAAGTCTGGGATCAGCGAAACAGTTAGCCTGGCTCAGTCCAAAGGCACCAGAATCCACCTATCAGAACCTCAAAACCACACTAATTAACATATTCAATTTTGATTAATCCTTACAAAAGCTGAAATTCAAAAACATATCGGACTTTTTTTTTTTTTTTGCCAGGACCAGTTGCCAAGCAACTAGCGGAGGCTCTTGGAAGTTACAGCTCCTCGCCAAGAAAGAGTTGCACATAGAAAACAGCCAACTGTCATTTGTACACCAGTATTCTTTGTGAGGAGTAAATAAACAACATAGTGAGTTTTGATGGTGGAGTCAGAACAGTAATGAACTTTGAACCAGGGGTCAACCGATATGTTTTCTACCACAGCGGATATCGATTATTGGGAATCGAGGAGACCGATAACGAATATTTGACACACACATTTGCGGTAAAAATTTTGCCGTCAAAATGTATTTAATTCACAACACGGGTAATCAGACAGCGCAGTGCACGTGACATTGTTGGAGACCAAAGAGTGACTACAGATAGAGAGGCAGCCACAGTGGCACATTTTTAGAGAAATCAGTAAAACAACGAACAATTTCAATGATCGTGAAAAATTTGGCCAAACTGATAAAGAGTAGACACCTTTTCTGAGCCCAGTCAGGCTACCTGGTTCCCGCTGGTTCCAGTCTTTATGTAAACCCAGACGGCTAAATGACTAAAGCTACATCCTGTATGTACTGCATATAAGACATGCACGTGAGAGTGGACTCAATCCTCACATTCAGCTCTCAGTAAGACAGTAGTAAATGTATTTCCCATGATGTTCAACTATGAGTTCACAGAAAGTGGCTACCAGATGAAAATAATCTATAATTCTAGGGTTCCTTTGTTAATTTTAGAGAGTTGCATCTCTGACCTACACAGTTCAAACTGCTGCTTCAGGTCCCTCAGAGCTGCTGCCCAATTACCCTTTGAAAAGGTTCACACCATCACTCACGTCTTACGTTGACATTTTTGAATCCAGTCTTAAGACATATCTATATTCAGCCGAGTCTGCATAAAGGTTACCGCCATTATGAGATCATTTGTACTTTGTATCAAATTATGAAATTATTTATTTTGAAAATTGCAATGCATCAAACGAATCGGGCACGTCCCTGGACCGATCAGTCCCGTTTCATGTTTCCATGTCCCCAGTGTTTCTCTGACATTTTCACCAAGCAAACAAGAAATCGATACCACATCCTTAGGTCTCCTCCTCCATACTAATTACAGCTTACTGCTCATAGAATTTACTATTACAGTCATGACAGAGGAGGGAGAGGGAGGAAAATCATTAGTCACCAAGTTCATTTCAGTATCTCAGCTTAAAGAAGCCACCAGTGAAGGTCACATCAATTAATCTGCATTAATTGGACAATGGTAATGTGCTATAGCATTGCAAAGTCAAATTATTGTGCTTGTGGCCTCTTGAACAAAGCGAATACATTAGAGCGCTCTTAATAAACAAGACAGTGGACTTCCAAAGTGCTTTAAAAAGCAAAAGATGCAGAGGCAGAAGTTTTAGGAGGAAAAAAATAAACATTTCTCATTTCACTAGATCTAATTCAAAACTTTTTTTTGCTGTTTTCTTCCAGCCAGCAGAAGGGGAAAAGCTTAGCTACATCTCTGTGCTTGATGAATTACTGCCACACATAAAAACTATCATTGATATTTAGAGAAATGACAGCCGGGTGCAGTGATGAAAGATTGGGCTGATGGGAGCACTGACAATGCTGAAAATGCAATGTGGAAGGCCCGGGGACTGCACCCTGAAAGATAAGTACGACCAGCCCTGTCAGGGAACTGACTATAAATAATTGGCTCTTTTTATAGTGATTCATTGCTCGTGTTGAGCTCAGGCTCAAGGTGGATATACATGGGCTTAAGCACTGCAGCATGAAGAGTATCCTAAAGCCTCTCGCTCACGCGGATGCGATTCGTCTAAAGCCATGTCCCATTTCACAAACGTAATTTACATGTTAACGCTGGAACAGTAGGCGCGCAGGAAGAGGAGCTAATGTCACGGGGAAGCAAATTACAAGATGCAGTTTGTTCACGGATCAGAAACCATGAATGTTCTGAATCAGGGAGTTCTCAAGGCTCCGCCACATCCGACACACAAATAAGCATCTGCCCACTTGTGATGAGGTTGAAGCTCTAGAAAGCAAAATCAACCAGAAACTAACCGGAGAGATTTAAAAAAAAAAAAAAAAAAAAGAGTGCAGACGTGAAAGACAGCAAGAGAAAGAGGCTGTAGGCCTTAAATAGAAAGGGAAACTGCCACATTTCACAGCAATAAATTAAAAAATAGCAGCAGATAAACTGAAACACAGTAACGTGTTACACAGCAATGTCGAAAATTCACTTGTCAAAAAGTGACACATCTGGCAGGGTGTCCC